GACCATGCTGTTAACTAAAGCAGGAACTCATCCAGCTGAAAGTAAACAAAATCAGAACAAACCAAGCAGATTAAAGAAAAAAACAAAACTAAACACCACGGAAAAAATGTTTCTCATTTTGTTTAACTTCCCCTTACTATGCCCTCAGTGGTGCACTCCTGTCATATGCCCTGGGCCAGTTCTGGCACACCCTTGTTGCACAGCAAGCTGAACCAATTCAGTAAAATGCAGGGGGAAATAAAAAGGATTTATTTTTTTCTGAACCGAGCTGAACTGGCTGGTATTTCCATCAGACACGAAACGTATCTGGCACAAAGCGGGGTGGCAGGAGTAGGGAAACTGAGGAGGAGGAACTGAGAAGGGCAATGAGACAGGGTAACACCTAAGAATGAGATGGTGACAAACTGTTAATTCAGCTCAGCTGTATCATGAAACTAAACCCTCAGTACCTTGTGAAATCTAAACCCATTTCTCTTACGAATAAAGTTGCCTTGGATCACAAGGCCGAGTGGAATGCCTGACTCTGTTTTGCCATCTATGAAACGGGGATACTAAGTAGCTGTATCATCTAGTCTGATTTAATTTAAATACATCCTTACAAAAGGATGCTTCAAAAACACAGACAAGCATTAAAATAAAAAAACAGCCCCATAAAATCAAACCAAATAACCCTCAACCAGAAAGCAAAGTCCCTGCTCCCTAGACAAAGTGAAATACTTTCAACTGATGAATTATTCATTTTATTCAGAGCAGAATTTTCAGTTATTTTAATTTAATCTTTCGATAAAGCATACACTTAAAAAACGACACTCAGACTTCCCCTCCAGTCTTTAATAGCACCCAACAAAAATGCCTTAAAACAGGTATACAGTCATTCATTCTGCTGCCAATCTTGTATGCTTTTTTTTCCCTGAAAAAGAAGATAAATTCCACTCCAACATATGATGAGAAGAGAAGCACAAGTCATTTGGAGAAAAAAAAAAAATAGACAAGACAATACAGTGTCATTAAAAAGAGAAAACCCTATGGGAATTTTTGAAATTCATAATTATAATGAGAGGGGTTGAAAAGAAAAAGTAAAGCAGAGAAAAGAAAAAAAGAATATCTGTGGGGCAAGACGTAACAAAAAACATGAAACTGAACCAGAAACAGACTTTCAAGTTTAACCTCAGAAAGGACTATTGTAGTCTTAGCTCTGTTCCCAAAGGAGGGTAAGCCACACGACATCACCGCCACACACAAAACTCAGCATATTTCATGAGCAGGAGGCTCAAGAAGAGAACAGGTCAAGGTTGATATCACTAGAAGAGCAGCGAGAGGGAGCTTGCACTGCAGTTGTCTGAACCACACCTAGTCTGCAGTTAAATATAGAACTTTACTTTCTGGAACTATTGCTCCTCTTAACCTTCAGAGCATAAATATTCAGAGAGATATTTAAGAGAAAAAAAAGAAAGAGGGAGAAAGAGTCCTGAATCTATTGTCCAAAATCTAAGCCTAGCAACTAATAAACTACCCTGGGAGAATTTCCAAAAAAGCAGTAAAGACTGGAGAATTGAATTACAGAAACCACAAGCAGCATTCCAGAAATCCAGTATAAACCAATTAGTTTCTTTAATACACATACCCTGTACACAGACACTTACGTACATTAGACATTTTAGTATACATGCTGACCCTAACTCTAATCTTAATTATAACAGGTTGGCACCAATACAATAATGAATTGCACTGGATTTTTTGTTTATTTAAATATTTTTAAAAAAGAGAAACTAGCCCTTCAACCCTTCTCATTCAGTTCATGTGCCAAATACTGACTGGTGCTGTGCATTTTCAGTTGGAGAGCCTGTTCCTAGAAGCAAACCTCTCTAATTTTTGCAATCAAATTCAGATTCTTTCCTTGAAGTGCTCTCAGCTGGTTTGACACATCGACTTTTAGCAACTGCATTTCTTACCAACTGAATTAAAGTCAGAAGCACATACCAGAATTAACTGATGGAGCAGCCCAAGACTGATCCTCGCCAAAAGTATCTTTATACAGCTTCACACCAATGTTTCAGAATTTATAGGAAGACGCAGTTCTGCACCACCTACACAAGTTTCCATTAAGGTCTAGATCCAATCCTCTTATCTTCAGGCATTTAACTAAATCACAAAAGTTAGGTCTAATTGCACAAGGCTCCTCTCTTGTAGCCAGAGAAGAAGGAGCACATAGCCCTCATAGGAGTTGCATTAGTGGGATAGAATTGCCTTCTGGATCTCTATTTCTCATTGCTGAATAGCTAGAAGCCAAGATGAAAGCACTTTACTGAGGTTCCAAAATAAGAATCGCAAATCTAGGTGCCTAAATCCCTGTGTTCACCAATATCTGCAAATCCCTGTGTGCACCAAAATCTAGGTGTACCATCAAGATGCTGCAGGACACAGAAACACAATGCAATGAAATTTGTATTGATTAAAGAAAATAGTCCATTAAACTGAGTAAGATGCTTCCACTCACAATCAAAACTTAATCCTTCAGAAGAAAACGCAAATTACCAGATAAATGGCATCAGACCACATGCGATGTCAATTCAATTTGGACCATTTCACTGGTCCAAATGCTCATTCCTGACCCTATGGCATCCAGTGAACCTGATCTGCTTGGGCTAGACAGCCAGGGGTCTGGTTACCTCCAACCTGGCTGCTGTTAATCAGTCATATTAAGCACAAGTCTAGAGGACTCCAGTGACTTGTAAGTGAAATTAGTTAGCTTCTTCCTAAGGCCCACAAGAGAGTGCTGCCCTCCTACGCTTTCAAAACTCATAATATAAAACAGCTCATCCTTACCGCTCAACGAGGCTTATTAAAATGTAACAGTTAAACAACCATAGTCCCAACTTACTTTCCAGTGTAGTTTTATTGTCACACAAAGCTTTTACCACGGCTCAAGTTTACTGTGTTCTTGCATCAAGTAAACATCCTCAGCCACATTTTGCAGTACTCACACCCAAGGCTGTGAAATCCAGTGCTTGCAGTGACCTAGCAAAGGCTTTGCAAATAAATATTAAAGCCAAGATTAAGGCAATGTGGCAGAAGTCTCCGTGAAACAGCAGAATATGAAGAAAACCCCAGCAACAAAGACCTTGCAGAGCACAAGACACAGCAAACAAAACCAAGAATGACAAAAAAATTACATCAAGTGATTATGTATCTGTATATACAACTGGATGGTTTCCAATGTCAACACATTGACTTGCTTCTCTCCATATCCAAAATCAAAACTCACACCTTTCTAACAGACACATACCAAATCATTACAGGTTGCCTGACTTCTTCAGAGTGTCACAGCAGAGACTGGCTTTAGGAGAGAGAAGGACGAAAGGGAGCACTTGCTTAGCTTTCTCCTCCTTCTCTGTGTTTCCACAGCACCTAGCACAAAGGAGTCTAAGGCACTATCGTGATTCAAACAGCAAATAACAGCAGTTATCATACTTTAGGCCAGACAGAAACCAAGAAGGAAAATACCCATCCCCCAAAAGCTCTAATTTTACTTCAGAGTAACTCAGTATTTCACACACAGAGGAGTTAATAAGGTCATGGTACTGTCCTGAAGGTACATGAAGCTGTAATGGTTCTGCCATTTTACTTACTGCAATCAGGAGGGTCACATAAGCATTTTAAAGTGCTAAAGATCCTACTGCACGTTGTATCACCTGTGTGGAGGAGGACACCATAAAAACCCAGTCCCCTACACTATTAAACTTCAGGAGTTTGCATTAGTTGGGTCTAGCAAAGCAGAACAGAACAGATTTCAAACATTTACATTATTTCCTTTGGGGAAACATTCAGCCAAAGCCGAAAACATCAGTGCAGTGCCAGGACAGAACAGGGAAACAAACACTTTGTTACTGGTCTCAGCCCTGCAAAGACCCTGTGACAGCCTGTGGCCACACAGATGTATGTCCCTCTTGTTTGTAAAATGGCTTGGGTCCCTGAGGGAGCTCAGTGTTTTGATCTTAGCTTAGGCAATGGAGGCACTTTCCTGCTTCTGATCAGTTCCAGAGGCCCTTGTGCAAGCAAAATGAAAGACAAGCATTATGGAAATGGCAGAAGATCCTAAAAATTCGCTAGCCAAGAACTCAATGGAGTTGCAAACCAGAGAGGAGTATAGCACACACAGAGTCATCTGGTGCTTCCATGGAAAGGAGGTTTCTCACACTCTCCGAGGGAATAAAACTCCTCCCAGCCATTTAGCCCTTACCAGAAATAAGCATTCATTCCTAAACTACATTTGAGTTCACTAGCCCTTTTCTATTATACGACATTATCCACAAAAGAGACATTAGTGTAAGGAGAGGGAAAGGCAAAGCACATAGGCAGCCAGGAGCCCAGACTCAGAGTGCTTCGTCTCTGCAGGACTGAAGGGCTGGGAGCTCTAATGATCACCTGCCACTCTGCATATGTATTTGAAAGATCCACTTTGCTCTGTACTGTTCCCAGCTCATGTAAAAGGGTTGTAAGAGCCTTTTTGGACAAGGAATCTACTGCTTGTTAGACAAAGTTTTGCATCCTGAACAATTACAGCAGTGCAGAAATGCCAGTTACAACTATAACATGACTCATTACGAGGACAAATGAGTAAACTGGGAAAGGAGAAATGCAGAATGTAAAGAGCATGCACAGACCCCCACTGAGACAGAGCCTGTGTTAGGCTAAATGGAAAGGTTTCTGCAAAAGCAAAGGAAGAGCTGAATGGCAATGCTCCCAGACTGAGCTATGGACAAGATGTTTTAGGGGCTACAAAAAATGAGGTATTGTCCAAAGGAGTATAACATTTTTTAAAACAGAAGCAGTAAAATGGTTCCTCCTACTCTACCATCTAAAATCAAATTACTACACTGTTACTGGCTTAAGATGCTAAAACACATCCACAAAAATGAAACTGGTGTTCACCAGAGCAGGAAAAAGGACACTTGTACTGGCTTTAAAATGCCCATCTCCAAACCCCCTGAGTGACATACCTTTCCATAACAGCCAGGCACTCCTTTCTCCAGGTGAACCGACTGCCTCGCCGTAGTCTGAAGGTCCCAGAGGTAGCTGTGACTGGGGGAGGCGTCTGTCTCCATTCTGGCTCTTCTATTGGCATAGGAGCGGGTCTCATGCTTAATGTAGCCCCTAAGAATAATAAATATTGTGTTTCCTAATGGATTAAAACCATGCTCATTTTCTCACTCCTGCTCATGAAAAAAAAGACAAGACAGATGATGAAACCATTCAAATTAAAAAAGCAAAGCATTATCAAACACAGACACCTTGAAGATGCACAAAACCAGCTAGAGTTCCCATCCCCAACCTCCAAGCCAGAGAGGTATCAGGTGAGCACGGACATCTAACGGAGACATAACTGAGCTGACAGCCTCTTTGAAAAAATTGTCCTATCTTCATTGAGAGGAAAGGATGAGCTATGCCCCAGCTGGGATTTATTTAGGCATGATGCTACCTTTTCTGCCACAAAATGAGAAACAGAAGGTTTCTCTTTAATTGTACATCAGTCTCAGGAAGCAAAATGTAAATTTATACCCAAGGTATTTCAACATGTCCAAAGAGCTGAGTAAACACTTGAAGTAGCTCCACCAATAGAAACACACCCCATAACCTGTACAAACATGGACTCCGAAAGAGCTAGGTTGCTTGAAAAAGTCACCAAAAGCAAATTAACATCACACCTTTCCTCTTCTGTCCCCCTTCTATGGATATATTTTTCTTTTCAAGAATCCTGAGCTGGAAAGCATCAAGCAAGAGTCAGGACTTGGCAAAATACTTTCAGGAAAGGCCCTTTGAAACTTACCACTGATTCTTTCAACAAGAGTCTCTCAGTTAATAAATCAAGATAAATCAAGCAAACTGAAAGACTGATCTTTCATACATCCCTTGGTGAGGATGGGAACCTGGTATAGGACATTAGTACGTAAAACAGGGTATGTTCTGAAGGAGAGCTTTGTGGTCAGTGACTTCCTTTGGAGGGAAGAAAGTTCTTGTGTGCAAAAAAACGTAAAAAACTTCAGTTGCATGACAAGATAAATCACCATATGTATCCCATGAGCATACTAAGCTCTACTGGAATTCATGCACGAAACTAGCCTGTATAGATCCAAGAGAAGCAGGCAGCTCTGCTCACACCAGGAATACAGTACTGTGCACACCTAAAAGCAGGGCCAAAAAAGCAAATCCCTCTGGGTAGTCAAACTTACTCAGAATAGTTAGGATTTAATAATGAAAACATACTGTGTTGGTGAAACAAAACTGCTTCTTTAATACAAAACAGAGTAAAAGGGTCAAGGGAATTTAAAGTTTAACCAATAAACAAATTCCTAGAATTAAAAAGCAAGAAATTAGCTATTTAGGCACTTGGCTGTGTTCCTTTCCAGAAATGCACAGTGAGTTTTTTCCTTACTGCTAGGGGCCTGCATCAGTGTTAGGTATCAGAGCCCAAAATAACTTAAAATTCTTACCCAGAAGTCTCCAGGAAGGGAAGCCCACAAACTCTGCCTTGCATGCACAACCTATGGTGCCTCTTCCTAATTCCCAGCTAATGAGCCTACATGGATTACTTACTTTTATTGACACGTGAAATATTTCCTATATTACCGATTTATCAGCCATTTCAAGGAAATTTCCTTACCTACACTTTCTAGTTCTTGCACAGTGTAGGGGTCTGGGTCAGTATCAAGTTGCCAGGATTTAAATACACTTCAAGAATAAATAAAAAAAAATAGATTAAAAAAGAATCAGGGGAGAAGAGGACAAGAAATTACCTTTCACTGCATTGCCATAGCAGTATACTTTCCCTACCTGCCAATTTTATTTCAAAAGGGAGAGTACAGAAATCTCAGCGATGCCTAACAATCTAATTGTAGATTTAAATTAGATATTAGGAAGAAATTTTTCACTGTGAGGGTCGTGATGCCCTGGCACAGGTTGCCCAGAGAAGCTGTGGCTGCCCCATCCCTGGCAGTGTTCAAGGCCAGGTTGGACAGGGCTTGGAGCAACCTGGTCTAGTGGAAGGTGTTCCTGCCCATGGCAGGGGACTGGAACTTGATGAGCTTATTTAAGGTCCCTTCCAACCCAAACCATTTTGTGATTCTGTGATTGAGATAAGAGGCATAAAGTAGTTCTGTTAAATTTGCCTGAGATTTTTCAGACAAAGGTTGGAAAAGAATCTGCATTTAAAGCATAACTTTGCTCCTGCTACTGTTATATTCACTTATTGAATAGAAGATGCTTTCTTTGTTTCAGTAGCCTTGCAAGATCAATTTACTTATTTCTCTTTTACATGGGGTAACATCAGTATCAGCAGCAGGTCAGAAAGAAGTATGCTGAGAATTACAAGCAAGGACCCCCATCACTGGTTTTGCACAGAGATAAAGTCAGATGCATCTGAATGCATACAGAGGCCCAAATGTGCTTGACTACACAAGTGGCAAAAGTGGAGGACATATGCACTGCTGCCACTTTTGATAAGGTAACTATGGAGCTTTTCTTCATCACACTCAACTAAATGAGCATTTAGGGATCACTGTTTGAATGCTTCATCTCAGTCTTCTTGCCACCCAGCTCAACTTCTTTACAACTTAATAAGTTTCATCTTTGTTACTAGGTCAGATTCTTTTTACAAACCCCTCAAACACTTTAAAGAAGTGGAAATTCTCTCTTGAGCAGAATGAGCAGAGCAAAGGCAGTGTAAGATTTTCATCTTAGGATATGCATCAAAAAGCAATAAATCTTTATTATAGGGGTATAGAGGTAAATCTTTATTATAGGGGTATAGAGGTAAAGCATGTGGGAAGAACTGCTTTTGCAGAGAAAAATGAAATGCAACATCTCATTCCCTGCCAGTGCCATGCACCTTTTGCAACAGTACTGTATTTCCATTGGGCAAGCCAGCGTTTTCATAAATGCCAGGTATGACATATGGGGATGCTGCAGGTGGGTTTTGGGGAGAGGAGGCAAAAGTGGTGCTCTCCAGCTGGAATGCAGCTCTATCTCTATACTCAAAATTCCTCAAGGCAAAGGCCTGCTTTCTCTCAGCACATCCCAGATACTTTCCTGAAGAAAGAGCATTGGTCTTACAAGCATCACATGCAATTCCTGATCCACATCACATGTCTCAGAGAGGCCCCATCATACAGGGGTGATGTGCAAAATGGTTGGAGCAAGCCTCAGGCCATCTCCCAGCTCCAAGAAATCATTTCCTGGCAAGCCTTTGCAGCAAGTACTTATCATATATTTATACTGATAAGAACAGATGTCATGCTGTATTTTTAGCCAGGCTGACCCGAGATCACATAATAAACACCTTTCAGTTACTCCTCAGCCAGGCTAGATTTGAATCAGCAGTCTGCACACCAAAACCTTCCCTACAGAGCTCACTGCTTGGATAGAGAAGATCAAAGCAGGGACTATTTTCTCTTTACTCTGTAAAACAGTAAATCAGCAACAATACATTTCCAGTTCAAATCTCATGGGATATCCAGCCCCTGATTTTTTCTTTTTTTTTTTCTTTTCTTTCCCTTTTGAAGGCTTTTTGTTTATAGCTAAACAAGAACTGCTATGGGAATAACACAAGAGATGCTACAACTTGATAATAACTACCTTTCTTTTTCCCTTTTGTTCAAGGAGGAAAAGCACACGGTTTTCTCCAAGGTGACCACAGCTGCCTTCCTATTACAGAAGGCTGGCAGAAATAAATAGCCAGACTAGATGGAATCAGTCTGTATCCATCTGTAACTTCCACACATCATTTCTAGATGCCAGCTTCAATATGCAGTACACGGAGGCAAAAGACATGCCAAAGTTTCTCATGACAAACTCTCCACATTGCCCAAGACCCAGTGCCTGCCAAACTAATCAGACTAGCAACTAGCAATGTAAAAAGGAATATTTTATGTATTTATAACTTATGGGCTCTGAAAAACAGTCAGAACATTACAGGACTCTGCACTTGTACACCAGCTTCTGAAACATATACTATTTATCTACTGCCAAAATGCTTTCAGTCCTCTACAAAACACAAGAGATATAGTGCCTGCCCGAAAAAAACTCAGGCTAAATTAAAAGTATCCGTATTAACTTGGTGAGATTTTGGGTGAGATGGTTTAGTGTGAGGTGCCCCTGCCCATGGCAGGGGGGTTGGAACTAGACGATCTAAAGGTCCTTTCCAACCCTAACCATTCTATGATTCTATGATTCTACAACTGGATGAAAGACCTTTCAAACACTAGCATTTAGCATTGACTTCTTCCCTTCAACAAAAAACTGCTTTTCACCCTAATTGGCAACTGTTTCCAGAAAGAATTTACAATCACCAGTACACTGGAATTTGCAGCATTGCCATTAACTCTGACATCACTCCTACCAGGAAAATGTTGATCAAGAAATTTTTGAGCAAGATTATTGCATACTGTAGCAAAAGTTGTTTTATTTTCCTGATACATGAGACTAAGTCTCTTTTGCAGTGTTCAAATCTGCTGTTGTCTGAACATCCACCACCGAAGATGGAAGTACAGAACCTGTCCATGCAAACCAGCAAACAAAACCAAGCAAATAATAAACAGCATATTCAAGAGTTCAAAGCAAGCTGACAAATAAGGAAAGTAATGGAATTGCTGAATCCCTTCTCCATAGGAGCAACGTCTCAACAGCAGCAACATCTCAAAAACCTTATGAGGCTCCACAACACAAAGTTCTTGGGTTAGCAAATGCAGGACTGCTTGTGGACGATTTAAAGCATTATATAGCACATTATACATTTGAAAAAAATAAAAATAAAATCTTTTTTGATGTATTTGTAAATCCTCTTTTGTTTATATAGGCATAGTAATAGTCCCTGCTGTGAGGAGCTTACAGGCAAGGCAGGCAAGTTACACACTGTAAACGGTCTCATCTTTATCTACAAGATGGGAAAGTGAGGTGCAAAGGAGAAGTCATTTGCTAGATGTTGCACAGAAAAACTGGCAGAGCCAAGGAAAGACTACAGGTCTGCCAAGTGATCACCAGTGCTTTCTGTACAAAACAACTATTCTTTGTTGAGAGTTCATAAATTGATTATATTTGATATCCCAGCCCTTCAAAACTGTTTCAATTCTAAGCAAAAGTTTTCTTCCCATTATTACACAAACGAATTCAGCCAGAAAATGGACTAACGCTGAAAATCCAGTTTTCCAAGTTAAGGAACTGAAGAAATGGGGGAACTAAAAGCTTCCAAAGACCTCATTTCGTCCATTGGCAACTCAAATGTGTAGGTGCCACTGCACAGAGAGATCTGACTCTATCACTCGAAGGGGAAGGATTGAGATTTTATTCCCAGCAGCTGGAATTGGAAAAGATGGGATATATGAGAATATAAAGCCAAATGTCACTTCCTAGTAAGTGAGAAATAGAAAAAACACATGCCAGTCATTTAATATAAGTTTCATGAGGGAAGGACAAAATTTTGCACTCTACAGAAAGTGCAATGACAACATTGATTCTTTTGAACACGGCAGGAAGTTCTGCTGATTTTCTCATTTTCTGACTCTAAAGATGACAGCTGAATGGCTAGTCTAGTCTACTAGTCACAGGACACTGTAAGTAGTATCCAAATCTTAGGCTCCAAATTGGTTTTGTAACAGTAATTTAAAGCCAGGGTTCTTTGAACAAGGTTGTACATTTCTTAATACACTGTATACACTTGAATGTATCCATGTTAATTATCTCTTGGCTAGCCAATCTGACCTGCAATATAGTAGATGGCAGTAATTCAAAGCAGTGGATTATCCCACAATAAATAAATAAATACCACCACATTTTCCTTAAGTAGACTTTTCCAACAGCTACAGGAAAACTGAGAGCTCCTTCCTTTACCTCAGTCTCTAAAAAGAAACCAAATGTTCCTTGGTTCTAAAGGGAATTTAAATGCATCTAAATAGTCCCTTGGCATAGGCTGATGAGCTATTTTGCTTTTTACACTTCTTGGAAATGCTGTGCAATAATTTTTGGTCAAAAATAAGTTACACTCAAGCAACAACTCAAGAATTTTTTCCATGTGTATATAAAGAAAAGTGAACAAGACTTCGGGAAGACAGTGCATCAGAGAACTAGAGATTAATGTTGATTCATTTCAATTTAAGCCATAACCTTCTGTGTTGTAAGTCTTCCTTTCTTAGATGTTTCTCAAGAGTGAAAGGACAAACAAGATGTGAGCTTGTGGATGTGCAGAAAGAAAGAAGTTTAAGAGGAGGAAGTAAAGATTTTAGTGCTAAGTTTGACACGGCTTCGCTTACCTCACCACAGAATACTAGTTCTTAAACAGTTCCAAATGGCAAGGTGCAAAGCCGTAAGAAAGATCCACACAATTTTCACTGTTAGTGGAGGAACTTCGGTTTTGTTTGGGGGTTTTTTGTTGGTGTTCCCCCCCCCCCAAAAAAAAACCAAAACAACCTACATCTTCCAAACCCCCTTTAGTTCTCTCCACTGTTTTGGAGGCGTTACCTTGCATAAAAGGGAAGTGGCTGAGAGTTACTTCATAGGGTACAACTTGAGGCTTTCAAAGCAGTTATATTGGTAACTTTGCTGGTCCTTAGTATCACATTCTACCCACTGCAAAATCAAGACTTCTTGGCAATCCCTGCAGCTTGCCAGCACCTCACAACCCTTGGCACTTTCATTCTTTAAAACCATTTTCTAAACATGCTTAACAGAAAGGATGGGCTCAGCCATGAATCTGAACCAGCCCAACTTTAAGCTCAAGTTTTTCATTCTCAAACCAACAGCTTCAGCCTCTTTGATTTTCAGCTTATATACAAAGCAGAAGTTGTAAAGATCTGTTTTCACTGGAATTTTTCTTAATAGAATTCTGGATATAAAGCCAAATTCACATTAGGGAGTACAAGTCTTAAGTTTCTTAAAACAATTATACAGTTAATTTAATCATGCCATAGTTTAAAGGAAATTGAATGTAAATATTTTGATCTTTACAATAAAATTGCTAAAGGGAAAAATAGGAACTGTTTTAAAAAAAAAAATAAATCTATGGAGAAGAACAATGCAAGGAAATTAATTCTTCTGTGATTTTGAAGATTGCTGGTGAGTGAAAAGATAACGAGGAGCTTTACTTTTTGTATTTAAGATCTATTTTGAGATTTGAAGAAGCAGGTGGGATTTGAGAGGCACGTCTCCAACTTATTGCTCTACCTATCAACATCCCATCCAAAGTGAAACCCTCTGAAGTTATCTCAAAGTTCCTCTACACAAAACTGCTTTTCTTTTTATGCAACATTCTATTATGCAGATGTTATTAATGTTTTTTATTTGTTTTTTTCTGAAGAGCCTCAGCATGTATTTCATGTTACCCGACTACAACTTCACCTGAAAGCTTCTGATTCCCAGAGCTGGCTATACTGAGGACAGGGTAACATGACTGAGGAACTGGACACATGGCTACGGATGAGTCAGCTATAGATCATTTACTGCAAAGCAAAGCGCGTATTTGTTCCTACTCTCCTAAAAAAAGGTAAACTGGTGAGAGGGAATACCTCTACAGGACACCAGACCAAGAGGTGAATAATCAGTGATAATAAAAAACAGTGACAAAAGGCTTTATTTATTTCCATAAATAAAACAGCAGGAGATGTTTAGGCTGTATTTGTTTACCAGGATTTGTCTTCTCAAGCTGGTACCATCTGTAAAATGCCCTTTTCTTCTGTTCACTTAGGTCCGACCCCTGCTGCAATAGCCAATGGGAGATCCGGCTCTGACTGATACCTGTGAAAAAACAGAACAAAAGAAAAGAAAAAGAGAGAGAGAGGAAGAGAAAACTTGCTCTTTTCAAAACATTTTAAAGTGGTTTATATACTGATAAAAGGTGTCTTACAAAGCTCAGGAACTCATAATGTTTCAACCACAAAAAATGTATGGTTCAAGCTTTCCCATCCCCATCCCTAACTGTTTTGACTTCTCCCTGTTATCTTCAACTTTACTCAAGGTACATCCTGGAATCGGCACAATCAACCTACAAGCAAAGAGGGTACAAATTGGGAAGGCAGATCTACCATTGACTTGAACTGTTCACAACTTCCCACATTCTGGAATTTTGTCATCTGTGAAATGGGAACAAGTCCCTTACCCCCTACTATATATAAAGAAGGGAGTTAGAAGATTGTTACCATTCAAGGCTTGAATAAGAAGGGAGATAAACACAAAAACAGTTTATGTGACATAGATCAAATCAGTCCAGAAATGGAGCAAGCCAACTACCAGTAGCTATAACAGCAGCCAGAAAACAGACAAAGGGCAGCTGTCTGTCAGAAAAGCAGGATTCATGCTCTAGGTATCCACACAAGATTAGGGACAAAAAGTTCCAGAGTTTTTAAGGCAGGAATTCTAAGAAAATAGTAAAATGGGAAAAACCCCTACAAGTTAATAGTGATTTCCAAAGTGCGACATTGAATGAAGGATCAATGCAGAAAAGGAAATGCAGAAAGGGAAAAGGGAAAAAAAGAGAGGAACCAAATAGTGCAATAAGTTTAAAAGTGCACTAAGAGATTCATTTGAAAATATCAAAATACATGTAGTTTGCTGAATAACTGAAGCAGTACTGGAGGATTTCTGGTGCTTTCCACAAGACTCTTCAGCTGACAAAAAGGGTTAATAACATCTAAACTCACCTGAGAAGTAAAGCTTTAGGAGGTGCTCCAAGAAATAATATATGGCTGAACACCACCTGTGCTACCACCTGCTTGGTGATAACACTGAGGCCGGTAGAAGGCTGGTTTTCACATGGAAACCAAACTACCTCTCCTCTCTTGAGATGCATCAAAGTTTTATAAGATCTCATAATCATATTTAACTCATGAAAAACAACCCCCTGTAGTTTTACCACTTCTAATAAGGGGATTTTACTATGTGTGGGGTTTGGTTGCTTTTTTGTTGGTGGTTTTTTTTTTTTCATTGAAACCCTGAAGCTAGTTAACTTCACAATGATGCAACCTGACTCTCAAGTATCATATTCAGGGGAATTCACTCCAACCAGATTTTTACACTGCGGAGTTTACGCTCTTAACTGTTCTTCCTTACAGAGGATTTTGGAGCATATGAAGTTTCAATTGTCCTGGGGAAAAGGGACAGGTATATTTTGTTTTGAGTACAGAAGCTTAGTGCTATTCAACAGAGCTCTGCCCACAAAACCTGCTCAGGTCTGACTGTTTCCTGTACATCTACTGATGTTCTTAACACCCATTCTCAGCAACTGCATTTGCCCCACATCTGGAAGATTTCAGAAACAGCTGAGGCACTCAGGAGTTGATCATCCCCATTGGGATATATTATTGAGTTCATATTAGTAGGGAAGCAAAATTATTCAGCTAAACACAAACCTTCGATTCTGCCAAATTTACACTGAGTAACTGTGGAAGCATACAAGTTACTACCAAAATAAGTCAATAAAAGTTGATAAACCTCTCTGACTCAAAACAAAGCTTCAGTCTAATTGAAATCTCGCAATCCACACGCCTGATGGGCAGTGAAAAGACCAAGTTTTGAAAATTTGCAGCTCTTCCCTTACTATTATGATTTAGAAAAGCCATTTCTTTAACACAGTGCTGCGGGTCACAACTGTTCATGTCTGCTTTTGGCTGCCTGGCTCCTATTAATCAATGGGTAACAGCACCATTAATTAACGTGTTTACTACAGTCCACTTAGGCTTACTGCAGTGAATTAATATTTGTTGAGTGTTTGGGTAACAAGGTAAGATACAAATGAAAAGCATTATTACATAAAATTATAAATAGAGATTAAGTATCTTCAACAAGAGGCTACTGGAAAATCCAAATGCTGCTCAAGAGGCTGCCTGATAGGGTCATAAAGTGGTACAGATGTTAGCCACTCCAGACAATGTGCTCAAGACAAAGCAAAGGAGCAGGAGCCAGAAGATTCAAGCTGTGTACTTCCATGTCCACATTTGACCCATTGCAAGTCCTCACAGTTTATAAAGTTGTTTCTGCAAAATGGAGATTTGTAAAGGAGGCTGAGATGTAGTAACAATAAATTCTCCAATAAATTCTCAGTACATTATTATTTGACTGTGGCATCTCGTGAACAGGCTGTAGTCCATAGCATTTTTTGCATTAGCAAAAAGCCCACAGCCCATTTTGCTCTTCAGCTTACAGACCTCCATAGCAATGCTGCAAACCCAGAGAACATGCCTGGTATGGCTTAGGCAGCTGATCTTTGGTTTGGTCACAGGAAAGTAGCGGACAACCTCTAGAAGGCCATTTGAATCCCATATCCTGTTATTCTTTTCTCCTATTTATTATTCTCTTTCCTTGTTTCATACATCTGTAATAAGAGCCAACCCTCTTAAATGTTTCCTCTACCTATATCACTCATCCTGTTTCTCCTTTTAAGATATAAATGCCTTTAATCTGTACCTTAGCTTGGTTTAGAGGCCCCAAAACAGCATATTCCAACAGCCTGACTGATTCAAGGTCACATGCAAAGTCCTAACAGAAGAACTGAAGCAGAATCACCTAGATCCTGGGTACAGTGTCTTAATCACAAACTCATCTTTCACTCCTTTCAATTAAAAAAAACATATCTCCAAATTGTCACATCAGAGTTTCTTCAATCTCAGGTGGGTTTTGCACAGTTGACTTACAGGGACAATGACTAGTACTATCACCAGTACCCTCCTGTTACACGGTCTATAATCATGCTACTTTAGGAAATTGCACTGGCAGGAAAAAAAAAAAATCAGTCTGCTGCCAGAAGCAGATTAATGAAATAAGTTCTCTGCAGTACTGAAAATACAGCTGTCTTGAGGAAATTCGCTCTCAAACTGAATCACGGACCTCAAGGAAGACTGCAATCCTCTGGGCTCTGCATCAACAGGGGCATGAATACGTTGTAATGAGGACAACTAGTTTTCTTACAGAACATAATGAAGGAAGAAGTGGTAATCACAAAGAATTACAGCAATTCCAATGACAGGCTGAGAGTTGGGGTTGCTCAGCCTGGAGAAGAGAAGGCTTCAGGGAGACCTTAGAGCAGCTTCCAGTGCCTAAAGGGGCTGACAAGAAAGCTGGAGAGGGGCTTTGACATGAGCCTGTATGGACAGGACAAGGGGGAATGGCTTTAACCTGACAGAGGGGAGACTGAGATAGAGATCTGAGGCAGAAGTTCTTCCTTGTGAGGGTGGTGAGACCCTGGCACAGGGTGCCCTGAGAAGCTGTGGCTGCCCCATCCCTGGCAGTGTTCAAGGCAGGTTGGACAGGGCTTGGAGCAACCTGGTCTAGTGGAAGGTGTCCCTGCCCATGGCAGGGTTTAGAACTGGATGAACGCAAAACCATCCTGTGATTCTATGAAATGCTGACATGTCACATGTTACTCCTTCCCATAGCAAAGGACATCTATCAATTTAGATTAGCAAACCTTGTCTACAGAAAACTTCCAAAGTGACAGAAAAACACATCTTTCACTGTGTTGTCATGAGTATTAAAAAAAAAAAACAGGGAGGAAAATGTTTTTCAAAATCCTATTTCTTGTCATTTCAGACGATCAGTAACTAAGCAATTTTCTGAATTCTCTTCACAATGGAAGTACTTCAGTTTCACTTTTTATTTACATTTGCTCAGCATCCCTACGCATCAGTTCCAAACCTTAAGGGATTTTATTTATGTTACAGCAGTGCTTCAAGGCTGCCCTCCACCGCGCAAGATGCTCTGTGTGTTTAGCAAACACAAACATAAGTCCTGAAGATCTCATATCAATTAAGATAGAGACAGTAGGACAGAGCTGAATGGTACAAGCAGAATAATTGGGAAGGTTAGCAGAACTGCACACAGGAAAGCTCTACGTATTCTGTATTAAAAGAAAAAGAATAAATGGCCTCTTCATTTTATTGTTGTTGATTTCCTTTTTTTTAAATGGTGGTTCAGTTTTTATGCTACTAGCCTATGACTTGAGATACCTGGATTCAAATTCCTGTTCTGCAACAGACTGTCTCCACTATGACCCTCAAGGAAGTAAGGTTCTTTTTTGTTTCTTCACTCCCTATGTGTAAAAAATGGAAAAGCTACTATTTCCAAACCTTGCAGAGGCATCATCCATCAAAGCATTTAGCCTTGCTGCAAAAGGCTCATCTGTGTATACTCCTTCCTTTCTCCTTTACTGTAGTACATAACAGAAAGACACTAGTTTCTGCAAACGTTTCACTCACCCTCCATCTACATTCAGAAGCTAAGAGACAGCATCTCTTAACTACTTTATATTTATCTCTTTATCCTTTGCCCTCTGACCATAACACCCTTGGTACCATGATACAATTTTGATGGCAATTAAAGCAAATTGCAGCACACAACTTCAATTTATTGCTGATAAAAAATTTGGCATCTCAACTGCCATATGTAGGGCTAAATACCGACCCCCAAGTAAGCTGCAGTTAAGTTAAAAGGAGCTTCAACTAACACGATAGGAAATTCCGCAGGAACTATTATTAGCTCCTGTTTATACTGTCATTTTTCTTATCAGTAGGAGATTATTTATACAGAGCCCAACCCAAGTGCTTCTTGTTTATCTTATTACAGACACCATTAAAAAAGTTTCTATAAAAAGCAGTTCCTGCATTTAAGACCAGCATTAGTAAGTGTTATGCTATTTCAAGTCACTATTTAACACTTGGTTACCATTTTCCAGTCTGTCCTTTTCTCTCAGTACACCAAGAAGAAGAGATGGATGCTAAAAGCTGAGGCCACGCTATTCTGCATTTACTTCAAGTGCTACACAAAAGACTTCCAGCTGATGCAGGGTGGCAGCCAATGGATGGGCAAGTCAAATACATCCAACATCCACACTGCAGCCTCCAGTAACAGTTTGCTTGGGAGCCTGTTTCACAGCCTGAACAGGAAGGGATGCTGGATACATCTGAAGAATACACAAGTCAGCTAGCACTCATCGGGCCTAAGACAGCTTTGGAAGTGAGAGCCCTCGGACATGTGCTTTCTGTGCTGGATCTCTGTCCCGAGCCATTTTCAGTCACTCTTCACCATGCTGTACTTTTGAGAGGAAGCTGATGTTTCTCCCTAGAAGTGCTGAGTATACTCTTTAATCTGGTCCCTTCAAACATTTCTTTGAGATTTACTATTTCTTTTCAGATAAGCCATAACTATGTACTTAACAGTGGCACATAAGTACTACACATCTGCTTACACGAGGCTATGGGTTATATTTAAAATGAACTGGCTCATGTAGACCTTCCCACCAAGCATATGGAGGATGACACAGTTCACCTGCCAAGGGTAGTAGGTGGAAGAGACCGGTGCATGACAGTGCAGTGCAAGCCTTGATGCCACCTCGTCCTGAGAAACTGCATCATGTGCAAAATACCACTTTCTTTTCTCATTTGAAAAGTCCACGGAAGCACCACTGCAAAAGGATGCAGCCATTTAACATCTAGATCTATTTGGTTAACCACTGATATGGCTTGAAAACAAGATAATAAAGCACTGCCATTACTTAGATCTTTGCCTGTCCCACTGACAAACTCAAAAGCGACATCTAGTAGTATTTTCTCTGATCACTGTGCAGCTACATTCTGGATTCCCCCTCCTTGTTACTCAGGAGAGTTGAGTGGGATGGGTGTGAAACTTAGTCAACTGTGTACAACATGGATGGTGTCCTTTCAGGAGGAGCAGCCTGACAAACAATGAAATCTCCCAAAGGCTAAATGCCAACTTAACAGCAACTGAAATGTGTGATAATTCTGATTCAATGGCCCAGCATGCAGCAGTCTGCACTGATAAAAAAATAAAATAATAAAAAAATGCTGGCTTCTTTTAGAGAGTCTTTTTCTGCAATTGTTCCCTCTTTGCTTTATTTCTGTTGAAGCTAGTTTGACTGCTGGTAGACATGATGGTCAAATCAGAGAGCATTATTCCAGGACTATATGCAGGCAAGGACTGCACAAAAGTAGGGGAGGGACCTACTAACTGCCAAAACTTCAGAGTTCAGGTATAATTTAAGCAACTAGACTTAATGTTTAATTTTTGAAGTACTAATGCTAACATCTGATAAAGCTAATAATATTCCTCAGTTACACTAAATGTTAATCTCATGATTTTTCAGATGAAATTGAAACCAGGGAAGGACAAATAAGTTAGCCCAGATCACAGAGAAGAGCTGGAGACGTGGAAGGAATTCCTAGCTCCATGGATCAAGTGCCCATTTCTGCCTGCCTACCTGAACTGCTAGCATGCCTGCAGACCCAAATCTCCCAGGCAGATGGGTTCTTCTGACCTTTCAAATACTGGAAATACCATAGAAAACAAATTCCCTCTTGCTGGTTTGTAATTCCTAGTCATCAAGAAGCCTTAAAAACCTATTTTCAAGATTTAATTCAAGCTTGGGTTAAAAAATTAATATGTTATAGGTATAACATGGAATTCGAGCTACCTATTTTATTAAGTCTTCATCCTAAGATACTGAGATGCTGGAGTATATGCAGGGAAGGGCAATGGAGCTCGTGAAGGGTTTTGTGAGGAACAGCTGAGGGAACTGGGGATGTTGCTCAAAGGCAAGTGATTCAAAAACTTCAATCTATCATAATATGACTCGTGAATCACAGAATTGTTTGGGTTAGAAGGGACATTAAAGTTCATCCAGTTCCAACCCCTTGCCACAGGCAGGGACACCTTCCACTAGACCAGGTTGCTCCAAGCCCTGTCCAGCCTGGCCTTGAACACTGCCAGGGATGGGGCAGCCACAGCTTCTCAGGACAACCTGTGCCAGGGCCTCACCATCCTCACAGGGAAGAACTTCCTAAGATCTCATCTAAATCTCTCCTCTGTCAGTTTAAAGCCATTCCCCCTTGTCCTGTCCCTACAGGCTCACGTCAAAGCCCCTCTCCAGCTTTCTTGTCAGCTCCTTTACACACCGGAAGGTCTCCCTAGAGCCTTCTCTTCTCCAGGCAGAACAAGCCCAGCTCTCTCTGCCTGTAGTTATACAAACTATAGCTGTGTCTCCCTACTATTCATATACATTTTATGGTAAAAATACACATTATATCTATATATCTCTCACTCCCCATACATGAAGATGAAGATACGCCATCTATTTGCCACTCTTCACAAACAATTTTAGAATTAAGGAAAACCTTTTTCATCTTAAGATAAGAACTTTGGGCTTATTATAATGCTGTAAAATAAAATCTGCTAGCACAAGCCACAAAAAGAAAAAAAAGAAAAAAGTGATTCACTGGGGAAGTTCCATGATGTGCAGGACAATGGGTCTTAAATCAAAGGCATACATTATCATGACTAAGCTGACAGATCTGCACTGCAATGCAGAAAGCCAAGCAATATTCCAACATCTGCAATGTTCAGAGACAGACAGTTACGCACAGTTTCCCAAATTGAAGAAAGGACTCCCCGAGCTCTTACCTGTTACCTGTGCAACAACTGCTTGGGAAATTCTCCGATTGGCTAGGAAGGCTTTGATTTCCTCCTTTATCACGCTGCTGTCCCTCCTACCAAAACAAACAAACAAACAAAAAAACAACACAAAAGAACACACAAAAGACAGACAGACCAAAGTGCACTTTGAAGATGCAAAATGGCTTTACTTCCTTTATTTAGGGGACAAGGAGTGGGGAAGGCAGGCATTAAAATAGTCAAAGTGCCTCACCGGTGGACACTTCTTTTAACAAGTGTCACGTTTGATCAAAGTACCTTAGCAGGAGAATGGATGACTCATGTCCTATATAATTCATAATAGGTTCAGCACTGCCATATGGAATGTACAAAGTTTCATTACACAGGGATGAATAAATCTCACATACCAGCATAAAAACCTCAGTCATAAAAATGAGGCACAAAAATAAAATATAAAGGATAGCAGGGTCTGCCTGGTTAGCTGCACAAATGAATATACATACACAAACCTCCTGAAACCTTTCAAGGAAAAAACTCAAAGGAGAAAAGATTTTGCAACCTCTATCCTCCACACACACTTCTTTAGTCCACAGCTTGCACTGAATGAACAAGTGGCGGTTATTTAAAGCCTTTGTATGATTTTACAAGGTGTGCAAAGGTAGTTCAGAAGGGACCGAAACTGCTAAAAAGAAAATAAAATCTGTAGGTTGCACAGGGACTGTGATATGCAGAAAATTTTAACTGCAGTAAACACGTACTTTTCTCTCCTCTTCCTTTCTCCTTTCCTGAGAAGGGCAGACAATTAAAACCAGACTTTATCATTTAGTAGTTTGCCTTTCTCTTCTCCACTCCTGCCCCAGCAGCATTCAAGGCCGATTCAAGCTTGCAAATGTAAATGCAAAATAAATGCTGTGTTGTGGGTTCATTTTTAGTTCTGTACCAATGCTCATCTTCTGTATGCCTGCACATAAAAGCAGTTTCCATTTAAATAAGCATTACAAGCATTACCTGAGACTTACTGCATAGGAACCCAAAACTCAAAGGAATGATTAAACTTCAGCAATGAGAACTCCTGCACACTGCTAAACGCACCACCTTCCTGCATTACTCCATTATCTTGCAGCTGACAGTACATGAGGTTGATCAGCTTTCCATACTGCTCATCTCTAATCCTCTCCTCCAAAAGCCACACTTTTACCCTAAGTCTCCTAACTAGTTCAAACATATTTTTATCCTAGAGCTTATGGACCCATCAGATCTATCACAGGTACTTCAGAAATGTTGCAATTTTTTTTTTTTTTTTGGGGGGGGGGCGCGCAGAAATAGAATTCCAATATTATGACCAAAATTGTTTTGAGACATTTGGCCTTTCCTCTTATTTCTTTTTGCTATCAAGCCCACTGACTCTGACCTTCATCCTCAGTAGTATAATCCCCTCCTTCCATCTTTGCCCTAATGCTGAAAAGGAAGCCACTAAAGGTAAAGGAAGGTCAGTCTGAGTAAAAAAAATCCCAACCCACTGGCTCTCAGTGAAGACTTTCTGCTTCTTCTTTATTTGTATTTTCCTATGCCAACCTGCAGATTGTGCAAATCTCAGAGTTAGCCCTGACACAAACTCTAAACAGATAACATAACATGTTCTGCAGATCCCACTGGAAAGCATTATTCAAGCAGATTCTCTACTCGCCCTATATATGGAAGGAAATACAACAGGTATGAAGTAGTGGAGGACGATTCATGTGAATCAACACTCAGTCAGAAGTCTCCTGAATAAGAGGAGGGTGGAAAATTAGTGCACTGACATTAATTTAAATTTTTAGTACAGATATTTCAACAGTAAAACAGACTGGGATACCCAGACATGGCCAGGGCTTCTCTACACAAAGACTAAAAGGCAGGTGAGAGGTACTGAGATAGTGACCATTATGGAACTAGCAGGGGAACAGCTATCTAAAGCTGTTCCTGCTTTCTTGGCAATAGCCATCACTACTGAGCAGTCCTCCAGCATGACGATCTCCTCTGGAGGACCTCTCACTCTGACTTTCCAAGCTTTTTACAAAGACTTCTACTAACCTCATCAGTTCCTCCACTTTGTCATCAATGTCCAAGTCCTCTTCAGAAGCTTCAAAACTGTATGACCTTTGAGCCAAGCTGTTTGCAAGTGGGTAGCGGGTAGGCGACATCTTCCCATTGAATGCAGACAACCTCTCGTTACTCTCCCTCCCATTCTGATTAGTAGTGCAAGGCTGTGGGGAGGTATCATAACTGTTGCTTGGTGATGGGGACATCCCAGAATGCTGGGTCTGTGTTGAAGCTGTGGCTGTAGAGGAAGATGCTGGGACATTGTTGGTACTGTTGCTGTAGGAACCACCTCCATAGCTAGACCTTCTTCCAAATTTGTCACTATGCTCTTGATCAAGCCGATCCAAGGTTTCCAGAGCGTGAAGGATTTCATGTCTGGTCATTCCGGTACGTCTCAGGCGCTGAAGCAGGTCTATCTGCTCTATGGTAAATCTTGGTTCGTCTGTGTAGTGAGACATGGTTTCCAGCAGACTAAAACAAGGTAAAATGTAAAAGCAAGTAATTCAGTTCAGTAGTTCTCTGTGGTGCATGAAAGTACCTTACATGCCGGAAAGATCAATTCTGATCCAAAACTTTGAGTCACACACGACAGAAATGACAGCCCAATAATCCACCTCTAAACAAGCTCAGCAGGCAACCTCCCACTAAAGCTTATTTTCTTTGAACTGCTCAAACAGGAATTCTCTCTTCTACTAGCATTCCCTACACCTTCTACAACAGTACCCTTTTGCTTTTGATAAACCACTGCTACAGAGAGACAGTGGTTGCTCAGTAATTAAGGCTGCAACTTGATTTCAGAGAAAATATTGCCCATTGCTAAGTATCCCCCAGTCGGAAATCCCAGGCTCCAAACCTGTTAGGTCAAGGCTGAGTTTTTTTGGAGAAGTTTTAACCAGTTCTGACATGAGTTTTATGAATCTCTTTCAAATCTTAAGTGTGAAGAGTTCAAGTCGCCCTAACTTTGTTGTTACTTTGAAAAAAAGAAGATAAAAAACACATCTAGTGGAAATTATACTGCCCTGTAGGACAAAAGTTGATTTGACTGAAGTCCCATATCTGAAGTTTGATTTCTGAAGTCAGTAACTTTTGAACCTGCAATGTTGTCACAGATCATCTGCCCTAACAAGGAAAGTGCAGTACATCCAATTACTACTGAGCTTTCATTTAAAGAAGTAAGTCTACAGCTTTTTCCTCTCCAAAGGCAGGCTTCTCATGTAACTCAATCATCATGGTGGCTCATCAAAAGCATTTTTAACTCCAAAACTTCCCAAAGTGCCAAAACAACAAACATGTATTTGCTGCAAAGCCCAGAAATGGAACTGGAAAAAAAATAAATCACAATATGCTCCTTCAGTCTCTTTTCTTTCCTAGGTCTCCTCACTACAGATCCAAATGACATACAAATGACAAGATCACCTCCTTCAGAACTCAAGATTTTGAGAACGGATGGCAGATGGAGGGCAGACAGAACTTGGCAAAGAGATCAACACATTTTCCATCCTTCTTGTGAATCTTCTTATAAGTCAATGCTTTATTACAATTCCTGCAGGAGAGCAGGGTGAAGAGATCACTCAAACTCCAGGAGACATGACAGAGCTAATGTACAATCCCTACAAGTGAGAGCAGACAAACAACAGCCTCGGGAAAGTCAAGCAAGAATTCCAAGGACCCGATGAAAACAGAAAGAGGGATGACAGCTGCCTCAATTACGCTAGACCTTCCAGACACAGGGCTGCCTATTTCTCTCCACAAATTTTGAAGATCACATCTCATTTCCATTTCTGCACTGGCATAGAGAAGTCCCCAGCAGAAGCCAGAGAGTGACAATTTTTCAACTGCTGCATTTAGTCTTTTTTAAGATACATGAATTGCAGTGAAGTAAACAAAATCTGTAGGGTTTTGGTGTGTAGCAAGAGAATCTTTTCAGGGGAGTAACCTCTCACTACACACACCTGACTAGGCAATGGGAACAGGTCCATCCTATAGAGTCAGAGGGTACAGCCATGTCAGTGCTAGGAAATTAAATAGTGCCCAGGAAGAGGCACAGTAGCATCTACATGCAGTTGTCTGCAGCATTACTAAATCGCTGCAGCTGTCTTTGGCACACTTTTGGTCCATCACAACCAGTGCACTTCCAACCAGTTCACAGGCTCTTTTCGAGACCTTGCATGGAGCAGAAACCACAAACCCTGTCAGGATGCAGCCACTCAGTCCCAAGGCTAGGAAGGTCTGGTGGTATGGAGGTGGCCATGTGGCCTTGAGGTTGAAGAACAGCACTGAGAACTGGCTTAGTTAAGCTACAGCTTAGTAAACTGTAGGTAAAGAGTAGCTATGCAGAGAAAGCTACAAAGCCAGGATGCGTGAATCCATAAAAATGGCATCTGCAGCCTAGAAAATACAGAAATGAAAAAAAGCTCCTGTCTTTGGCCTCATCAAGCAACTACTGAACCCTTTTAATTGTTTCAACAGTGTGAACATAGGAGAAAGAAGCAGGAGGACAACACAAGGGGATGACTCCCATCCAAGAAAATGACTGTGTGAGAAGACAGACGGACTACAGCCACGTAAGTGCTTCAGTCCAACCGGAATGCGCTGTCCTTTGGACAATTGATTACTTAAAACGTACAAGCCATTTTAAATTTTAAAAGAAAAAGACCCAGATTATTTTACTAAAAGGAGGACACAGCAGCCAATGCAGCAGCAGACTAGTGACTGACTGGAATTGTAACAACTAAAATTTGGAAGTCACATCTCAGACGAGACACTCAGAGCTTGACAAGGAGCATTTGGAAACAGACATTGTGTTCTAGGTTTGGCCTCTGCGTCAGGGGAGGCAAGGCTGCACAGTGCTTTTCTCCAAGCATTGTGAGAAGTGTCACAGTGACTTAACTCACATCACAAATTCTGGTACAGCCTGAAAGCCCCCCATGTCACCTCTGAGTGGCTGGTTTTCTTCTTAAACATCTGGCCTTGAGATGGATTTCACTAGATATGCCAGCTTGCCTTTCATTAGAGATAAACCCATCTGGCCCATTTCTTACCTGTATTTCTAATGCTACCATTTCCTGGATCATTTATCTGTCAACACCAAGTTTCACATGCTCAAGTACTTTGTTGAACTAGAGAATTTAATGAACAAGAGCCTCCATGCAGAATTACCACTAATCAAAATTCTTACTTTAGTCTTTAAAGTTTAATACTAAAACATACTTTAGACTGTCTAGGTTTATCTCCCATTTGTCACAGACCTAAAAACCCGAAACTTTTGTCCTTCTAGCCCGAGAACTGAAAAACTAGCATCTGACAAAAGCATGACTTTCCAGGTAGCTTCAAAAATGCGGTAACACAGAACTTGCAGCAGTTTGTGGCCATGGCCAATCATTCCTTTTAAAATTTAAGTGTGATTCCTAATTTGTCTAAAATGTCAGGGCTGTCCTTCTAGATCTGGGTTGTCAGGCCAAATTAATCTCCTTTAGTGAATTACACATAATCCTTTAGTGAATCCTAAGTATCCTTTAGTAAATTACTAGCGAATTACATATAATGAACTGCAGTGTTCTTAGCTGTAAGAGAAATGGTTGACCTGGGTCGGAGCAATCCCAGGCATAGCTACAGGTTGGGCAGAGAAGAGATTCAGAGCCTCCCTGTGGAGAAGGACTTGGGGGTCTTGGTTGATGAGAAAATGAACATGACCCACCAGTGTGTGCTTGCAGCCCAGAACCCAACCATGTCCTAGGCTACACCAAAAGAAGTGTGACCAGCAGGTCGAAGGAGGTGATCCTGCACCTCTGCTCTCATGAGAGCTCACCTGGAGTACTGTGTACAGTTCTAGTGTCCTCAACATAAAAAGGACATGGAATTGTTGGAACAAGTCCAGAGGAGGGCCACAAGGATGATCAGGGGACTGGAGCACCTCCCGTATGAAGACAGGCTGAGAAAGTTGGGGCTGTTCAGCCTGGAGAAGAGAAGGCTGCGTGGAGACCTCATAGCAGCCTTCCAATATCTGAAGGGGGCCTACAAGGATACCGGAGAGGGACTCTTCATCAGGGACCATAGTGATAGGAGAAGGGGTAACGGGTTCAGACTTAAACAGGGGAAGCTCAAGTTAGATACAAGGAAGAAATTCATCACTGTGAGGGTGGTGAGGCACTGGAATAGGTTGCCCAGGGAGGCTGTGAATGCTCTATCCCTGGCAGTGCTCAAGGCCAGGTTGGACAAGGCCTTGGGTGATATGATTTAGAGTTAAGGTGTCCCTGCCCACGGCAGGGGAGTTGGAAATAGATGATCTTAAGGTGCTTTCCAACCCTAGCTATTCTATGATTCTATTACCTGTTGTAGTTTGCTGTATGTGGGGAAAGTGGTCTGGCCTCCAACTTGTCCCACTTCAATGTACCACAGATGTGCTGTGCATGTGCAGTAATTGCAATCGCACAGGGATGCATGGGCTGCTGGACAAGGCCATCCTCTGCTGTAAGGATAAGATATTCAATGACTTCCAACTTACGTTCCACTGTATCCTCTTAATCTGTGAGCTGCACCTAAGAGGCTTGCAGAAAGTAATCTAAGAGTAGCGAACCTACTGTTACATTATATCCATCACACTATGTTAACACAATCACTGGAAAAATTGTGGCAATTTGAAAAAACAAAGCAAACCAAACCAAATTCAATGGTCTGTCAATTTGACCATGCAAAATATTCTTCTAGCCCTCCAACCTTTTTAGAAAACTTCTGCAAAATTTTTCCAATGCTTAAAAAGATAAGAACACCAAAATCAGATACAGTATCTCACTGCTGATCTAACTAATGTCATATACAGTAAAAACTGCCTTGCTTATACTTACATACACAACATATACTGCATCTGACATACTTCTCTTTGGTCTTCTTGATTTTGAACTCTTATTCACATTTTCAGGTACTTTTCTACACAACCATGAGATCTAGAAACAATGCTTCTGAGTTTTATGTACTGAAAACTGCAGGAACTGGGAATTTTCCATTAAAAACCCAAAACAAATATTGCAAAACGTGGTATTATTGAACTTGTTCCAACATTGCCAACTAGCTACTCCTTTTTAATGAATAACTACAGTAACATTATTTAGAACCTTTATTCTCGCAGGGCTGCAGTTATTTTCCCTTTTTAAAATATTTGAATAAACTTACCCTATTTAAAGATCAATTTACAAAGCAGTTAAGTAAATCAGCCATTTAAAAATTATTGTAATTTCATTCACCTCATTAATTAGTGGATATTCTCCACTACTTCACACCCCCCCCCCCCATACTGCTGTAAGAGCCTCTTATCCTCCTGAACTCCTCTGGCTAGCTGTAATTCAATTTGCTTCCCCCCTCTTCTTCCTTATGAAATACAATCAACTGCAAAAGTAACAAGAAGTAAAATAAGATAGAGGCAAGCAGAATAATTGGGGGCATGCAGGAGAAAATAAAGATAGCAAATACTTTTC